AATCATTACAGAATATATCTGAAAATATTCTTATTCCAACTCATTAAAGCTTGCCTAATTTAAACACAGCCGAATGGTCCCAGAACAAGCTTATATCATCCTGTTCTTTTTACCATAGCTATAGTCACAGGTTCCCATATATATGAAATCACTGAGTTCTCAGCTGTAAGCTGTTGTTCAACCCATTTGATAATGGAAGGATCAAAGATACGAATGCTAGAATACAGAAAGCACAGGACATAGGCAGAATGAATGATGGGCCTTGTCTATTTGCTCTCTTGAAATGCACATTTTACATTTTTGAGCAGAATCTCGAGAAGTTCCACCACCGCCTCCTTTGTGGTCTAAGTATGATTTCCAAAATAGACCTCTTTGAGGAGTCAGTATGACATACCAGAGAGCCCTGTAGGCCAGCAATTGGGAGTCCTCAGTTCTTGTTTATGCTACACTACTAATGAGGTCTGTGTCCTTGGGTGAGGTATTTAGCTTGTTTAGGCCTCAGTGTGAATCACTTATGAATAAACATATTGAACTAGATCAGTTACTTTCAAACAAGTCTCCATGGCGATGGGGAGGATGGGGGTGGACTTAGAGCATGAGACTCTGTTGTCTCCCATCCATTCTTCAACCCTGGAAACTGTTTAATCTCCTAAGATGTTTTTAAGAGAAAGGGCCCTCCAGTTTTGTTTAAGTTTTTCCATGATTGGACTTGATGACCTCAAATGTCATTTTATTTGTAAGCATTTCTATGATTCCATATTAAGATCACAGCTTAACTGATGACACGCTGACCTTCTGCTAAATGTCCATTTTGGCTGCAATATCATTGTCTAAATTGAACAAGTTGCTACATATTTTTTTGAGATCCTACTGTGTGTCCACTTCTGTGCTTAATAAAATAATATTTGGGACTAAAATAAAATCAAATAGGTGGCATTTTCCCTACATTCAACTATGTTGATGTTATGATTTCCCAACTGAAATTTTTTCCTTGGCACCTTGGGATTTCCCATTCAGAGATCTTTTACTGCTCTCTGGGTTGTGCCACTTCGGTATGGAGAATATATCTAGTGTTCCATGTGTGTTAGGAGCAGTGCATTTTACTAAACTTCTGAGGATAACAAGTAACCCTGGGTAAATTAATTAGTCTCTGGATCTTAGTGATTTTATTTTATCAGTATTATCCAATCTTTTTCAAGAGTAACTTAAATTTCATGCTATAGTAAAGATTTAAAATCTTGAACAACTTAGAGAACATTGACAGAACCAGTACCTATTTGAAAGGCTCTCAGCTATCCACGGGCAATAGACATTACCTTGAAGATAGTCTGCTTTTGGACCATATATACACATGCTTCAGTCCTCCAAAGAAACAAAAAAAAGCCCTAAAATATAGAGCAAAATTCAGAAGATCTTCAAATTACTAAGTGATAGAGTGGCTAAGACAGAATGATTCTTTTAAAATAATAACCTACCAGGAAAAACTCTCATAGACTTTATTTATGACAAAGAGAATTGAAGATATCACCTCACAAGTTGTGACGGAAACCTAATTTTGCAGATACAACTCTGGATGAGAGGCACAGATATAAGCCATCAGAGAAAGACTGTAAATTACATTAAAAGGTTGAGAAAACAGGAAAAGGTGTTTAATTAGAAATGGGAAGACTGATGAACCAAATAGCATTAGGCAGGCTGATGATGTAGCTTTCTTTAAAATAGTAAATATGAGCTCATTGCAGCCTAAGCATCAGTCACTCTGGCACCTCACAAATCCATAGTCCATCTCCTTAGTAGTGGGTGGGCCAGCAAAAAGAAAAAGCCACCATAATTAAGTCAAACCTCCCACAGAAGCCTTCGCTGTATGTATTGAAAGGGGGCCATGTGTTATGGGAATTTTCCAGCTGTCATTAGGCTAAAGTTGTGGGAAAAATGAAAAATGAGAAGAAACAGATTTGGTGTATAAAATGGGACCAGGGTTCTGATATTCGGAGACATCTAAGAGGGACCCAGTGGATTGTTGCTTTCAGTTTGTTCCATAATTGATCAAAGTGAAAGCAACGTACTCAAAATAGAGACTAAGAAGCGCTCAATGGATTTTAAAAAGGAAGCTGGTAGAGGTTAGGTGTAAAAGAAGATGCTGAGCAGTACTGAGAAAAGAGATTCGGGAACGTAAGGAAAAAAGGAACCCACAAGTCTTCTTCTAGAACATTTTGACTCATCAAGCAGTCATAAATTTGGGTCTCTTAATGTGTTCTGTCTGGTTGTTTTTAGTGAGTTTATTTTATTACAGCTTTTCTGTTGGTTATTACATCCACTTCAGCAAATGAGGCCTGAGAAATGTTCCACATGAAATATTCATTGGGTTTATAGCCTTAATCTTAAAAGTAAAAGCTGAAGTAAAAAGCTGGAATAAAAAGAGTTTTAGTGTCCATTTTATGAATTTGAGTGCATGGTGATAGGCTAAAGGGGGATTCAGCACGAGCAGGAGAAAGCTAACAGGAAGGAACTATATGGAAAGGTCCTGAAAGCAAAGACAACTTTTAAGTAAAAGTCTGAGGATATGGGAAAAAAAATAAAACAGACAAAAGAATCTGAAGAATTAAAAACCATTAGGATGAAGCCAAGATGTGACTTCAGCAGTCCAGTGTGGGAAACTGCTGCTAAAGGAAATGGAGTTTCAAAAACTTTTGTTTGAATGGGGGAGAAGAGCCCCTTGGCTTCATCACGCAGCATGGTGGTTATAAGAAGACTCTAGTAAAGTTCTCAAGAAGGGCCAGGACTCATTCTAACTAGCAAGATAATCATAGTAGAGTAAGAGATGCCATTCTACTCTTTAGTTCTTACAAATAAGCATTGCATTGTTTTACAAATAGGGAAACCAACACTAGAAGAGTGAAGTGACTCACCCAAGGTCATAACATAGAGCAGAAGAACTGAGACAGGAGCCAGATGTGTCTATCTTTACAGCCCGGGCCTATTCACAGTATGGGACCACATCCCATCTAACTCCCGTTCCAGTCTTCCATAGTTCAGAATCTAAAGTAATTAGCAGTGACCACCCTCACCCCACACCACTCCCTGTGCTGCCAATTTTGAATTAGAAGCAAATAAGTGCTCCAGAGGGCCAGCCCCATGGCTCACTAGGGAGAGTGTGATGCTGGGAGTGCTGAGGCTGCGGGTTCGGATCCTATATAGGGATGGCCGTTGTACTCACTGGCTGAGCCGAGGGTTGCGATCCCCTTACCGGTCAAAATAAATAAATAAATAAAAAGTAAAAAAGTAAGTGCTCCAGAAAAAGGTACCCTAAGTGGGTTAAATAAAATGTAGTAAGGAAACTACAGCCTATGATCCATCTGTTCAGGAAACAAAAAGAAAAAGAAAATGCAAAACACGAGTGATCCTATTCTTGACAGTGAATAGGCTCTGACACAAAGGCTTCTCTAAAGCAGTGGTTCTCAACGTCTCAACCTTGGCTTCACACTGGAAACACTGGAGAGCTTTAAAAAATCTTATGCCTGGCTTCCACTCTAGAGATTTTAAGTTTACTGGTCTGGGTCATTGAAATTTTTCATTGGAACTCCCCAGGTGGTTATGATGTGTGGCAGAATTCAGGAATCATTGCTCTACAAGTTAAATCTAATAATGAGTTTCACCTATTCTAGTCTCCAAAAAAACCAGTATTCATCTTTATATTCCCCTTTGAGTCTAATGTCTTGTGAATAATAGATGCTTAATAATGATATGTGTAATAGATGCTTAATAAATGTTTGGAGAATTAACTTGATGAACAGCAGAATAATGATACAGGTACAGCTCTGGTTCTCTGTAATCTGGGTAACCCTTAATGCTTTTAAATCTTTAATATTCACAGGAATGTTCTATGCTTCCTTCTCGTACAAAAATGCCTCAGCAGAGCTGTGCATCAAGACATTTCTGAATCAAGGTTTCTCTCATTTGTTGTCGGTGGTCTCCTTTTGTGTAGAACCCTGTCGCTAAAAACACTATGGAATTGCCCAGGACTCTTCTCATCTTCTCTTGGGAAATAGCCCCACCTCAATCAAATCTTGATTCCTTCAGTGAAGCTGACCTCTGGTGGCCAGATAAGAGCATAGACCTGAAATCAAGACGAGTTCAAACTCAAGCTCTACTGTTTACTGACTTTGTAAGCTTGGGTGGGTGTATTAGTTCGTTTTCTGTTGCTTATAACAGAATACCTGAAACTGGGTAACTTATAAAGAAATTAAATTTATTTCTTCTGGGTTAGGAGGCTGGGAAGTCCACTGTCCAGGGGGCACATCTGGTGAGGGCCTTCTTCCTGGTAAGATCTCTGTAGAGGGCCCGTTGGCATTGCCAGGTATCACATGTTGAGGATGGTAAGAGATCTTTCAAGTGCTCCCTTATAAGGCCACCAGTCCATGCTCATGATAACTCACTACTCCATGAAAGAATTCATCCACTCATGAGAGCATAGTCCTCATGATTCAATTACCTCTTAAAGGCTGCACCTTATAAATACCATAATCGGATTTCCTCCTTCTTAACACTGTTACAAAAGGGATCGCCTTTCTAACACATGAACTTTTGGGGGATGACACATTCAACCCATAGCATTCTGCCCCTGGCCTCCGAAATTTATGTCCTTCTGACATGTAAATACATTCATTCCATCTCCATAACCCCGAAGTCTTAACTTGTCCCAAAACCAATTCAAAAATCCAGAGTCTTCTCTGTGAAATTAAAACAAAGAATCTACTTCCAAGGTACAATGAGGGGACAAGCAAAAGACATAAATTCTCATTCCAAAATGGAGGAAAGAGCCAAAAGGAAGGGGTAACAGGTCCTAAGCATGTCTGAAACCCAGCAGGGCAGGCATTAAATCTTAAAGCTGGAGAATAATCTGCCTTGACTCCACATCTTGCATCCTCTGGACACCAGTTTGGGGGTTGGGCCTCCAAGTCCTTGGGCAGCCCTGCCCCTATTGATTTTCTGGGCTCAGCTCATGCTTCATCTGTTCCAGGCTGGCATTGCACACTGGTAGCTCTATTATTCTGGGGTCTTGGTGGTGGTCCCACTCCCATTGCTCCACCAGGCATGGACCTCCTGGGGTTTCTCTGCTGCAACTTCAACCCCACATTTCTGCTTAGCATTGTGTTATTGAAGGTTCTCTGCAGTGTCTCTACCCCTGCATCAAATCTCTTCCTGCATCTCCATGCTTTTCCATATATCCCTTGAAATGAGGGTGGAGCCTGCCATGCCTCCACAACTCTTGCATTCTGTGAGCCTGCAGACTTAATGGCACTTGGAAAACGCCAAGGTTTCTGGATTGTGTCTTCCAAAATAGCAGACCCAGCAGCATGTAGGGCCAACTTAGCTATAGCTGGAGTAGCCAGAGCAGCCTGGGTGCAAAGGAGCAGCATCCTGAGGTGGCCCCGGGCATTGAGCCTATGGAGTGTGCCTCAGGCTTTGTTCCTGGAAACATTCTGTCTCCCCAGGCCTCTGGTCCTATGGTGGGAGGGGCAGCCTCCAAGATCTCTGAAATGCCTTTGGAGTCCGTCTTCCATTCTCTTCATCATTTCTTTCTGTACTAATCTCTTTAGCACATGGTTGCCAGGCACATGGAAACCAGGGTGTACCCTTGTGTTTTAGTCCGTTTTGTGTTGCTGCAACAGAAATACCTGAGACTGGGTAATTTATAAAGGAAAGAGGTTTATTTGGCTTATGATTCTGGGACAGCTGCATCTGGCATGGGCCTCAGGCTGCTTCTACTCATGGTGGAAAGTGGCAGGCAGCCAGCGGGTACAAGCAGATCACATGGAGAGAGGAAGCAAGAGAGAGAGAGAAGGTGCCAGGGTCTTTTTAAGCAATGAGCTCTCGTGGGAACTAATAGAGCGAGATCTCACTCACTACCCCCCCTCCCCAGGGAGAGCATTAATCCATTCACAAGGGATCCGCCCCTGTGACTCAATCAGTTTCCAACACTGCCACATTGGAGATCAAATTTCCACATGAGTTTTGGAGGGGACAACACATCCAAACTCCCTCACCTTGGTTTCCTCTCCCACGTGCACTTCACTCTTTACAAGGCTAGGCTGAGAGTTTTCAAATTTTTTACCCTTTGCTTCCCTTTTAATTATAAATTTTGCCCTTGTGTCATTCCTTTGCTGCCATAACCCAGAGTAAGCTGTTAGAAACGGCCACACAGCTGTCTGAATACTTTGCTTCTTAGAAATTTCTTCTGCCAACTACCCTGGCTCACCACTTTTAAGTTCCACATTCTGTAAAACGTTCGGGCATGCAAATTCCCTACCAGTTTATAACAAGGGTTATAACAATGCAGCCAAGTTCCCTGCCAGTTTATAAAAAGGGTGACCTTTGTCCCAGTTTCCAGTAAGTTCCTCCTCGTTTCCATCTGAGACTTCCTAAGAATGGTCTTTACAGTCCATACTTTTCTCAGCATTCTGATCACCATCATTTAACCAGTCTCTAAGAAGTTCCAGACTTTCCCTGGTTGTCTTGTCTTCTAAGCACTCATCAGAATATCGGCATTTTCTACCCTGCTCCTCCAAATTCTTCCAGACTCTGCCCATCACCCAACTCCAAATCCACTTCAATAATTTCAGATATTTGTTATTAGCAACATCCCACTTCTTGGTATCAATTTTCTGTATTAGTCTGCTTTGTGTTGCTTATAGCAGAATACCTGAAGCTGAGTAATTTATAAAAAAATAAAATTTACTTTTCACAGTTGTGGAGGCTGGGAAGTCCACAGTCCAGGGTGTGCAGTTGGTAAGGACCTTCTTCTTGGTGGGAACTCTCTACAGAGTCATGTGTTTACCAGAGTCTTGTGGTTATACATGGCAGGAGTGGCACGAGCTCTTTCGTGTGCTCTCCTTACAAAGCCAGCAATCCACACCCATGATAATCCGCTGGATTAATGGATTAATCCACTCATGAGAACACAGGCCTTATGATCCAATCACCTCTCAAAGGCCCTACATTTCAGTACCATAATCAGATTTCCCACCCTCTTAACGCTGTTACGGGATCAAGTTTCCAACACATGAACTTTCAAGAGACATTCAATCTATAGCAATGAGTTACTTAACCTCTACAGACTTCGGTTTCTTCATCTATGTTTTATACCATAACAAGAGGTATAAATACAGGGATGTGGTGAGGTTTAAATGAGTGCCTGGTAAGTGTCCTATAACTGTGTACAATGACTGTGAATGATTCTACATCTTACCCCCACTTCCTCAGGCAAGAGAATGAGAGTTGGAGTGGAACCTTCTAAAGAACGAAGAATGGAAACTGACACATACAGGTAAATTGTGTCAGGAGTGAAATCCATAAATCAGGAAAGCATCCAGGTTTGACTTCACAAAGGCTTATGTGACAAAGTGGAGAGGATGATAAAAGTCAGGTTGCTAAAATGTAATGTAATGGGATAGGAATCGTTTATATTAAATAATATTAAATACCTGTAAGTGATATTAAACTTTAAAAGTTGTGCAATAAACCTTAATTAGAACAGCAAGTTACCTCTAATTGGGATTCCATGTTAGAAATCAGGACGAAACCCTTGTAAGGTTAACATCCTACTTTAGTTGGACTCTCAAGAAGATAATACATCAAATAATAGAATCTGAGGGCTGAGGATGGTTTATTTAGGGCTTCCAGCTGTGATTTTTCTGGATTTCAAATGACTGCCTCAATATTTATTTTTTCTCCTGGGAAAGAAGGGAAAAAACCCTCTACTGCATTCCCACTGTCTAGGATATTAGCTGTTACAATTTCTATTGGCTGACCTCATGAAAGAGGACACTGCATTTGACCAGCTCAGCTTTTTCTTCCCCTTTCTCACTATAGATTGTTACTGTACAACACACTGAATATTGGATCAGTCTTTGAAAAGCATTGTAACATGACCTGCACAAAGAGACAAGTAACTCTATACTGTTTCCTTCCAAGTTCCAATTGGCATGGAAAAAATTCTCATGCATTATATTACAATTACAGCTTGTGACTTTCTGGAAAATGCCTCATCTGGGTTTGGCTTTAAAAAAATCAATCTGTTCTTTTACCAAAAAAGTAGAGGTAATTTAACATTTCATTTTTCATGCAGTTAGTCTATTGGCCAATTTACAAAAACCAAACAAGTCTAAGAAATTTAGCCATCATAGTTTGTATTCATGAGTGATAAACTCCTGCTTGGGAGATCTTACAGTATGATTAAGAGCTTATTCAAGAAAACCAAAGGTTTTTCTTTGTTAAAGGAGCAAACGGACAACTTCTCTACACCTGTAACTGATAAAACCACCAGTTGTTTTCCTGTGCCTCTTTTTGTAGACCACATACATGATTCAGCTGAACTCTTCTGGCTGTGAACAAGAAGCCCTGACACAGAGACACAAAATATCAATACTCCGGGTTATCTCTTTGTTTCTCATTTCTCTGAGTCAGGATCACAGAGAAGCATCATAGGTTTGAGATGACCTGAAATATGTTGAAGCACTAATGTGTAATTAGTAAGCCTAAGGAAAAAAAAAATAGATCTACCAAACAGCACTCAATCCTGGATTAGTAAGCAATTTAGCAATATTTATTCAGTGCTTACTATTCACAAACATAAGCTGTATGGAACCAGAGTGGAAACTTTGCAAATTCCCAGCAAGTGGACAGCATTTAACTTAGTGACCGCAGTCCCATGGGAGCAGCTGTCTTTAATATTTAATCATGGCTCACTGGAAATAGCAGAGTAAAGAAATTCTAAGCAATGAGAGAGATGCAAACCGAAAATTGAAAGAGCTTACTCACCTACACATAGGAAAGAAACTCAGAAAATTAGTCTTATCTCACAGCTAAGAGACGGAAAATATTTAGTTACAGGCATTTTATAAAGGGTCCTGCGTAGGGGAGACCCCCAAATTCTGAAACTCTGGCCTTACACAAATGTCTGTGGTCACACTTAGTTTCAGAAAAAGTTAACAAACTGAAATGTAGTTCGGGACGTTTGTGTTTTAGCAGAAGTTTTGAAAGACTGAAGACAGGAATACCAATAAAACCTTCCTGTGCTTTTTGTTTGTTTGTTTTTGCACCCACAAGCACAGATGGTGTCTTATCTCAAGTCCGGGCCCACAGCATTAGCTCTGGCTGCTCAGAAGCCTTGGACTGCAGCATCTTTCTTTTTGTCTGAACCCCTAAAATCTTTTAATGATTTTTCTCTTGCCCTAGCATGGCCCAGGCAGTCCTAGTTGAGCAGGATGAGAAGGATTTTCAAGCACAGTCTGTATAAAAAAGTGTATAGTAGGCCACCCAGAGCCTAGAGCAACCTGCTCCTACGTCTTCCAGGAGAAATCTAAAAAGATTTATAGGCCTGGGCACTCAGCTTATAAATAGGAAACTCACTTTGGGAGTTCCCTTGAGATAATCCAGGAATGTTTTTGTCAGCCCAAATAGAAGCACTTTACTGATTGCTTTATAATACCTCAAGAATGGTAAAAGTTAATCCTGAGGAAAAGAGTACAGTTGTCCCTCGGTATCTATGAGCATCTAGTTCCAGAACCTCCTGTGAATACTAAAATCTGCAGATGCCCAAGTCCCTGATATAAAATGGGGTTGTATTTGCATATACCCTATGTATATATTCTCATATAGTAAATCATCTCAAGATTACCTAAAATACCTAATACAATGTAAATGCTATGTAGTTGTTATACTGTATTGTTTAGAGAATCATGACAAAGGAAAAAAGTCTGTACACGTTCAGTTCAGACAATTTTTTAAAAAATGTTTTCCGTCAGTGGTTGGTTGAATCTCTGGATGTGGAACCCATGGATATGGAGGGCCAACTGCACTTGTTAGTCTCGTAAAGTCCTTTCTAGGCCCACAGGAGCATCCTAGATGGCCACAGGATGGTTTGTGGGTATGGTCACTTCCCCACAGATATCAGCTTCTTCACTGAAAAAGAATGTTAGACCTCAGGTCTGTGGGAATGGTCATTCTCTTAAGGTCGGTTTGAAACATTTTAATCTTATGGACAGTAGTTTTACAGAGTGTGCTCCCTTCCCTGGGAGAAGTTTTTAAAAAAATTTTAAGGCATTTTTGTTTGTCATAGTGATGGGAGGTGTGATACATTAAAGGCAGACCCAAATTCTTTACTACCCTTTCCCCTGAAAAGTGAGGTCAGGTTTATACTGCTCCCCTTGATTCTGGTGAGCTTCACGAGTGCTTGACAGAAGAGATGTTGTGCCAGTTTCTGGGCCCAGGCCTTATAAGAGTGGTGGCTTCTTCTGTCTTGTAGTACTCACTTGTGGAGTCCTGACCCACTATACAAAAAGTGTGACTATCTTTTATAAGAGACCATGCGATGTGGAAAATCCCTGAGAATGTATGGAGAAGGAGAGAGGCCCAGACG